TAACTTTCTGTAATTTTTTTTTTCAGTGCACATGACACTCCTAAGCAGCCAGTGGTACGTTTTAAAAGGAATAAACATCATAAAGGATCCATTTATTGTGTAGCCTGGAGCCCTTGTGGACAGTTATTGGCAACAGGATCAAATGACAAATACGTCAAAGTGCTGCCCTTCAATGCAGAGACTTGTAATGCAACAGGTAGGGCCCAAGTTTGTAAGCAGCAATTAGGTGACCAGTGTACACCTTATGTTTTCTCCATGTTGTGTCTCTGTATCGTCTTTAATGAAATCTAAGAATCTTAAAGAATTTTTCTTTACATTCTAATTGTTTAGTTACATTCATGAGGCATTATTCTTTTTTAGTATAAATCCTTACAGGTGGCCAGGTAATGTCTGAGCTTTAGAAAATTATCAGAAAAATAAATAACTACCAAAATTGTATTAATGGATATTTTCTAGCAGTCATCTGTCTTTCTTTTTGTTTGGGATAAAAGACAAGAAGGTAACTGTACAAATTAACTCTATTTTAGAGATGGTAATAACTGTTTTGATTTCTTGAAGTTCTTTGCCCAGGAAAGCGAAATCGTGTATAATATCAATCCCTAAATGAAAATATAAACCATACCACTACCACTACACTGTTCTTCTTAACCACTTTTGAGGCAGTTTAGCAATCTCAAGTTACCACAGTAAGTTGAGCAGAATTTTTTTTTTTTTAATTCTTATTGCTGTTTCAGGACCAGATCTGGAGTTTAGTATGCATGATGGGACAATTAGAGACTTGGCCTTTATGGAAGGCCCAGAAAGCGGTGGAGCTATTTTAATAAGTGCTGGAGCAGGAGATTGTAACATTTATACAACAGATTGTCAAAGAGGACAAGGCCTCCACGCTTTGAGTGGACATACTGGTATGTAATATCAGTCTCAAGTGCTGCTTTTCTTTTTGTTCTACCTGTGCTTTTTTTCCTCTCTGCATTTTCATTTATGGGGTATATTTCATCAATATGTATCTTTTTAAGACAGGAAATTTTTATTTCTAAGATTAAAATTGTGAGGCTGGATATGGTGGCTTACACCTGTAATCCCAGCACTTTTGGAGGCTGAGGCGAGAAGATCACTTGAGGCCAGGAGTTCAAGACCAACATGACCGACATAGTGAGACCTCCGTCTCTACAAAAAATTTTTTTAAAAAATTAGCCAGGCATGTTGGTGTGCGCCTGTGATCCTAGCTACTTGGAAGGCTGAGGCAGGAGGATTGCTTGAGTCCAGGAGTTTGAGGCTGCTGTGAGCTATGATCAGGCCACTGCACTCCAGCCTGGGTGACAGGAGGAGACCCTGTCTCTTTAAAGAAAGAAGAAGTGAACTTTGGATAACACCACTGTAACAATGATAGATAACCTCGATATTTCCCTGTGTGCTAAATCCTTTACTTGTACACATAATTCCTTAATATAATCCTCACAACCACTTTATGTGGTAGGAAGTTTTATCCCCATTTTATAGGATGAAAGGATAAAATGACTTGTCCAATATCATAAGGTTTAATAAGTGGCCAAACTAAGATATAATCCCAGGTTTGCCTCTTCAAAAGCTGGTAATCTAACCCCACAATCCTATGCTTCTTCCATGGAAAAGTTGCCATAATTTCAAATGATAATGATAATTTTTTTTTCAGTGCCAATCATGATGTCCTGAAATACTGAAAGAGCCTGCTGTACTAACGGAGTCACTAAAGAAAGACTGCGTTCGTTCAGTGTGGTTTTG